CAAAGACTGTTTCAAGATCTGTCCTGAAGTACAACACTGTCAGTGATAGGATAATATCCAAACACCTCCAAGGAAGTCCAGTTAATACTACTATTATTCAAATCTATGCATCAACCACCAAAGTCAAAGATGAGGAAACTGAAGATTTCTACCAACTTCTGCAGTTGAAATTGACTGAACATGCAATCAAGAGGTATTGATTATCACTGTTGGCTGGAATGCAAAAGTTGAAAACAAGAGTTACCGATAGTTGGAAAATATGGCCTCGGTGATAGAAATAACACTGGAGATCACATGATAGAATTTTGCAAGACGAATGACTTACTCATTGCAAATACCTTTTTTCAACAATATAAATGATGGCTGTACACATGAACTTCACCACATGGAATACACAGGAATCAGAATGACTACATCTGTGGCAAGAGGCTATGGAGAAGTTCAATGTCTTCAGCCAAAACAAGTCCAGGAGCTGACTGTGGAACAGACCATCAACTGCTCATATGCATGTTCAGCTTGAAGTTGAAGGCATTTAAAATGAGTCCACAAGAACTGAAATATGACCTTGATAATATTCCTCTGAATTTAGAGACCATCTAAAGAACAGGTCTGATGCACTGGACACCAGTGACCAAAAATCAGAGGAATTGTGTGATTATATCAAGAACAGCATCAATGAAGAAAGCAAGAGGTCATCAAAAAGACAAGAAAGGAAGAAAAGGCCAAAATGGATGTCAGAAAAGACTCTGAAACTTGCCCTTGAGTGGAGAGTAGCTAAAGCAAATGGAAAAAATGACAAAAGAGCTGAGCAGAAGATTTCAAAGGGTGGCTCAAGAAGACAAAGCCAATTATTATAATGAAATGTGCAAAGACCTGGAGTTAGAAAACCAAAAGGGAAGAACATGCTCACCATTTCTCAAACTGAAAGAACTGAGGAAAAATTTAAGCCTTGAATTGCAATATTGAAAGATTCTATGGGCAAAATATTGAATGATGCAGGAAACATCAAAAGAAGATGAAAGCAATACACAGAGTCACCGTACCAAAAGAATTAGTTGATGTTCATTCATTTCAGGAAGTGGCATATGATCAAGAGCCAATGATATTGAAAGGAAGAAGTCAAAGCTGCACTGGAAGAATTGGCGAAGAACAAGGCTCCAGGACTTGACAGAATACCCATTGAGACGTTTCAACAAATGGATGCTGCGCTGGAGGCACTCACTCAGCTGTGCCAAGAGATTTGGAAGACAGCTTCCTGGCCAACTGACTGGAAGAGATACATATTTGTACCCATTCCAAAGAAAGGTGATCCCACAGAATGTGGAAATTATTGAACAATATCATTAATATCACATATAAATAAAATCTTACTGAAGATAACTCAAAAACGGTTGCAGCAATATATTGACAGAGAACTTCCAGAAACACAAGCTGGATTCAGAAGAAGACATGGAATGAGAGATATCATAACTGATGTCAGATGGATCTTGGCTGAAAGCAAAGAATACCAGAAAGATGTTTACTTATGTTTTATTGACTATGCAAAAGCATTTGATTGTGTGGATCATAACAAATTATGAATAACATTGAGAAGAATGGGAATTCCAGAACATTTGATTGTACTCATGAGGAACCTGTACATAGATCAAGAGGCTGTTGTTCAAAGAGAACAAGGGGATACCGCATGGTTTAAAATCAAGAAGGGAGTGTGTCAGGGTTGAGTCCTTTCACCATACTTATTCAATTTGTGTGCTGAGCAAATAATCCGACAAGCTGGATTATGTGAAGAAGAATGTGGCATCAGGATTGAAGGAAGAGTCATTAATAACCTGAGATACACAGATGACACAACTTTGCTTACTGCAAATGAGGATGACTTGAACCACTTACTGATGAAGATTAAAGACTACAGTCTGCAGTATGGATTGCACTTCAATAGTAAGAAAACAAAATTCTTCACAACTGGCCCAATAAACAGTTCCACAATGGGTGGAGAAAAGCTTGAAGTTGTCAAGGACTTTGTATTACTTGGTTCTACAATCAACACCAATGGAAGCAGCAGTCAAGACATCAGATGACGTATTGCATTGGGCAAATCTGCTGCAAAAGACCTCTTTCAAGTGATGCAGAAGAAAGATGTCGCCTTGAAGACTAAGGTGCGCCTAACCCAAGCCATGGTATTTTCAATTGCCTCTTA